AGGGAATAATTAATTGCTGTATTTCCTAACTTCAGTGATTTGTTTACCACCTTTATGATTTTTCCCATAAAAATGAGCCTTCATTATACTATTTACTTAATATTAAAGTGTTTTCAAAAGGAAAATCACTATCGTAAGTGGAAAACAGCCATGCATCAAAGGTAACTAAGGACAGTGTGTGTATATGTTAATAAAAATACTGATCCATAAGCTGGGTAGGGTGGTGCACACCTGTAATCGCAGTAGCTCAGGAGGCTGAGGCAGGAGGATTGAGAGTTCACAGCCAAGCCTCAGCAACAGTGAGGCACTAAAGCAACTCAAAGAGACCCTGTCTCTAAATAAAATACAAAATAGGGCTGGGGATGTGGATCTGTGCTCAAGAGCCTCTAAGTTCAATCCCTGGAACCCCCCACACCGCCCCCCCCCAAAAAAAAGTACTGATCCATGTGCCTTCTAGAATTGTCTGTATCCTCCTCTTTAGAAAACATGGGTGTGATCAGCCCTGTGTTTTACAGGTGAAAACACCAAGGAACAGGGCCCTTGAAGGTCACACACTGGAAGAGTGGCAGGAAAACCAGGACTCTCAGCTGACTCCTGGTGTGGTAGTCCCCTCCCCTCTATTCTGCTTCTTGCATTAGGGGCTGAATGTCCAAGATGGTGATTTGTTTTTCATCTATCACTGTGCTTAAAGTAGTGCAAGTAGTGAGATAACCCATTTGTCTCCCCACAAAAGGAGGGGTGACTTGTGTTTTAGAAAATCACTAGCAGAGTCTCCAAGGTCATGCCTGCAGATAAGAAATAGAGTGGCCTTGGTTTTGTTGGAGTATCCCAGCTTGTGTGCTTCTGTTATCTTCTGGCCTGCACCATTCTGAACCTCACATTCCCGAAGCAGCTACTGTTTAGAAGGAGATGAGTGAGGATATGAGCAGTCCCTTGAACCGTAGGCACTGGGAGTCATTAGGTTTTTAAGTCCTCAGGAATTTAGATGGGTTTTAGAGAGTATGAAGTGGAGGAGAGAGAGGTGCTTGCCTAATAGTTAGGAGCCTAGACTCTGAGTCGGGGGGCCCAGGCTTAAATGCTATTCTTCACTTTTAGAATGGGTGGCTTGGGTGGGTCACTCAGCTTCTGTGGGCCTTTTTTTTTTTTTTTTTTTTTTTCCTTAAAATGGAAATACCAGTTTCCTAGAGAATCATCATGAGAAAAACAATATATCTGAAGTGTTCTTAGCAGAGTGCCTGCCACATAGTAAGCACTCAATAAATTATTTTAATTTTCATTATTAGATATTTAAAACCATTTCTTGGAACAAGAAATGTGCTTTATGAATAAAGGAATACATTGTTTCTTTACAGTATATTGTAATGTACAGTATAATATAAATGCAAAGTATAATTACTCATCTAACATTTGTATTGCCAGGATTCAAAAGCAACCTGCTGGCTTCAGCACTATACCTCTTAACTATTACTCTGGACTGCCTCTCTCTTTGCAGACTTCCCAAGTTATAGAAAACTGAAACAAGCATGAATTAGGAACAAATTGGAGAGACTTGTCATATTTTGGAAGGACACTTGTCAATTTAATCAAAACTAGGAACAGAAAGCTTGTAACATTTCTATGTGACATTCCAGCACCATATGAAACTGGAATTTCCTTATAAATTATAAGGAAGGCCAAGGACTCAGGAATACATTTTAGCTATGTAAGAAGGAAGGGAAAAGAGCTAGAAGCCAGTAGGCATCATCAGAAGGGAATAGAGATGATGTGCCTAATGTGTGGAGCTTTTTGGGGTGGTCTGTTGAGAAAGTGGTTTGATGCACATACTGTTGGGGGTTCCACAGAGAATCATAGTACCGTTAGCCATAGAACCCCCACCCACACACCCACTTTTTCTTTTCTTTTTTTTTTTTTTTTTCCCCGCACCAAGGGATTGAACCCAGGGGCATTTCATCAATGAGCCACATCCCTTATTTTTTATTTTGAGACAGGGTCTTGCTAAGTTGCTGAGGCTGACTTTGAACTTGCACTTCTCCTGCCTCAGCCTCCTGAGATGCTGGAATTACAGGCATGCACCAGTGTGCCAGGTTACCCCTTTCTCATTTTGGGGTCATCTTCATTGTCTGTTAGGAAGTTTTAGGGCCGTATTTTGCTTAAGTTTTTTACATGGTGCTAAGGATGGAACCCAGGACCTCGCACCTGCTCAACAAGCATTCTGCCACTGAGTATACATCTAATCCTTTTATTTTACTTTATTATGAGTCAGTGTCTTTCTGAGTTGTCTAGGCTGACCTTGAACTTATAATCCTCCTGCCTCAGCCTCCTAAGTAGTTGGGAGTACAGGAATGTGCCATCCGTTAGGCCTTGCTGGGGCCATTTTTAAAGAACAACTGGGACAATAATCTTGACACTCCCTACACCAGCCATTTGCTGCTCAGTTTATTGTGGTCTCCTGTGAAGTGAAGTGTTCTTACCTTTTAAATCCATCTGCTTTACCAAATAATTCCTTAAAGGTAGCTTTTGCATCTTGAGTAAGTAGCCAACTTACTCAAGCTTATCCAAAACATGGAGAGAGGCTGGGGATGTGGCTCAAGCGGTAGCGCGCTGGCCTGGTATGCGTGGGGTGCTGGGTTCGATCCTTAGCACCACATACAAATAAAATAAAGATGTTGTATCCACCGAAAACTAAAAAATAAATATTAAAAATTAAATATGGAGAATGAGATTGCAAGTCTTGGGCAGTGTGCCATTTGGAGCAAATGATCCCTTCCTTACCTGAGTCTTGGGTATATGAGCTCGGGTTTCTTAATATTTTTCTTACTGGTGGGGAAAAAAATTTTAAGCATGCATTCAGGCTGCCATCATCTCTAGGTTAGGCAGGGGTCAGCAAACTTCCTTTAAAGGTCTGTGTAGTAAGTGTTAACATTTAGGCTTTGCACACTGCACAGTCTCTGTGCCACTGTAGTGCAAAGCCAGCCATAGGTGATATATGAACAAATGTGTGGTTGTGTTCTCATAAAACCTTCATTACAAAAGCAGGTGGTTCACCAACCATAATTTGCTGACCTCTGGCCTCTACTATACTAGTACCTCCTAAATGATCTTCCTCTCCTCATCTCCTTACAATCTGTTTTCCTTGAAGCAGTCAAAGGGATCTTTTAACAATAAAAACGAACATGTTTCTCTCTGGATTAAAACTTGGGAATAGTCTTCCATCAGCCTTTCTATAAAATCCAAGTTCCTTACCAAGACCCGTAAGGCTCTAAGAACTCTTAGAATACATCTAGGTCCTTGTGCTCAGTGAAATTGACTTATTCTTCTAGGCTCATACCTGCAAGCCTGTTCTGCCCCAGGGCTTTTGTACAAGCTGTTCCCTCTGCCTAGGACATCCTCTGGTTTTTCTGTGGCCAGCCTCCTCCTCATGTAGTTCTCAGATTAGATGATACCTCACTGCAGTGGCCCTTCCCTGATTGCTTTACTTGAAGCACCTCTTCTGGGCCCTGTGTATGTCATCTTAATGCTTAGTACCAGCTGGAGTGGTCAGTTACTGATTACCTTGTGTACCCTGTAAGTCCCCACCAGCTGTGCTAGTTCAAGAGAGTCAGGGCTTTCCTAGGTCATATTCTGCACAGCAGCCCCAGTGCCTCAAACAGCTCGTTACACTGGAGATAACTAGTATTTGTTGGATGGATTGCCTTCTTTTCAAAACCCTGGTATTTGTAAAATATTTCTACTACTTGAAGCTCCTTTGTTCAAGGTATCTTAACTATATTTCAAAAACTAATATGGTATTGTACCCTAGGGTTTTTATGCAGAGAGGAAGGAGACTTGCCCAACATCGCAGAACCAGTAAATGGAAGGGAGGAGAGCAGACATCAGTGGACTTGGGATGCCTGGGAGCCTGGCTGGCATTCCAAGGCCTGCATTTGGTTTTCAGTCTCGTGGTTATCTTTGTCATTTATTTGTTTAAGGTTATTTATCTTCATGTTGGTCCCAGAAGGCGTCAGACTTCTGGGCACTTTTGGACTAGCACAGAACTACCAGGAAAACCTCAGCTGTATGGGACAGCTGTGCTGGCTGCCGTCTGTCCTCCCTGCTTGTTGAACTTTACTAAGGGACTGACATGAAGAACAGTTGCTGTAAATACTCCTTTGCTTAAGTGAGAGTTGATTTATTGTGCCATGTTTAATTTCCTAATGAGAACAAAGTAGATAAGTAGGAAGTTCGGCATTTGTTTCTGGGGGGAAAACTTACTAGCTATGTTCTGTTCTTTGGCTGATAAACAACTTCAGCTGCTGATATTGTTCTCAGAAGTTGCCTCCCTTTTCTGTGGGGCAGGAATCCTTCTGAAATTGTTTGGACATTTCCAACGTGGAGGAGCAGTTTATCATTTTTTGTCTGTGAAGCTCACATCAGTTTATGGATGTTAAAGTTAATAGGATGGATTTAGTCTTGAAGAGTTGTTGTTTCTGAGCAAACCGGGCCTATGAAATATTCTTGGGGAATTTGTTGCGGAAGGGAAAAGAACCCTGTAATAAAATAATAAATTTCTCCATATTGTCTGCCTGCTTTAAGATGAGGCATACCTATATCCAAAGTACATGTATGAAGACATGAATTGGTGTGAACATACTTTACATAAAAAACAGAGATATGAAAAATTGTGCTCTATATGTGTAATAAGAATTGCAATGCATTCCGCTGTCATGTATTTAAAAGATAAAATCAATTAAAAAAAAGATGAGGCATACCTATATATTTAGTAACTACTTAAAAATATGGATTTGCCTGTAAAGGCACAGTTTGGGAAGTATTTTTATTTCTAAAGACATTATTAAGGCCAAAAGAAAATTCAGTTCACAGGGAAAACTGGCCTGTTGTGATGATGCCTTACAGTAAGGTCGTTGGGGGAGAAGCAGGTAACAGCCCCTTCATGGGACTCTTGTGTGTTCTAATACGGCTTTGATTTGTTACTGAGTATTTAAATCTGATTCTCTTTGTAGATTGCTGCTAAGATTGATTCGATTCCTCACTTGAACAACTCCACGCCTCTCGTGGACCCCTGCGTGTATGGATATGGCGTGCAGAAACGGCCCCTGGACGATGGAGGTGAGTCCCCTGCGTGCCCTCCCGCAGGGTCGGAGTGAGCCTACCAGCCATGCTTGACTCTTTCAGCCCTTTCCTTAAACGGCTCTTTCCAGCATCGCTCTCTTGAGAGGAATGGTAGAGGGGATGTATTTAAGATAATTGTTCTCAACAGTTCTCCAGCATTTGAGTTCCTATTTGCCTTGATAATACAGAAATTTTTTCAGCTGGGCTCCAAGGTAAAGACTTGGCCTTGAACATCCATCTGGAAGTCATTTGACCCCTTTGAGAATTTTGATTTAGCTCTCAGTTCTTCTAGTGCATGTGTGGAAATTGAAGTTCCCACTTTCCTCCAAAGAAAAGCTAAGATTTGGTGTGCAGCTCTGAGGAAGCTGTGGCTGCGTCTTGTACTCCAAGAAAGGAAGCAGGGATGGTGACCTTTCACAATATCTGCTGGGTTTTCACCTCCCCATTTATGACAAGCTCTTTCGAGAAGCTTCTGTTTTTATTTTATTCATTCATACATTTAATGTTTTCTTCATTTTTGTTTTCTTCTCCATCCCAAAAGGAATTTGAGAATCTTGTATAGGGTGTGAGGGTCACTTGATGACACTTACATCCTCACATAGTTAAGGGTCTTCTCTGGTCTTCTGCTGTTCTTTCTGTCTGTGTATGCACTCAATTGTTTATGGTTTTGCTTATTTCTGTGATACAAGTGAAAGAAAGGAAAGTGCAGAACAGAAGTGTTGTATCTTCCAAAGAAAGTAACTGTTTTTATGTACTTAGAAAAAATATAATTTGGCTGGGTGTGGTGGCACATGCCTAAACTCAGGAGGCTGAGACAGGAGGATTGCAGGTTCAAGGCCAGCCTCAGGGATGGGTCTATGGCTCCGTGGTAGAACATTTGCCAGCATGTCTGAGGCACTGGGTTAATCCCCAGCACAACATAAAAATAAATAAATAAAATAAAGGTATTGTGTCCATCTATAATTAAAAATAATTTTTAAAATAATTTATTATTTATTTTAATACCTTTTTAAAATTTATTTTTATGTGGTGCTGAGGATTGAACCTAGGGCCTCACAAGTGCTAGGCAAGTACTCTACCGCTGAGCCACAATCCTAGCCCTAAAAATATTTTTTAAAACTAGCCAGACTCAGCAACTTAGTGAGCCCCTGTCCAAAATAGAACATAAAAGGTGCTGGGAATGTGGCTCAGTGGGTTCAGTTCCTGGTATAAAAAAATAATGTGTGTGTGTGTGTGTGTGTGTGTATATACACACGTGTATATACATACGTATACATACACATATGTAAATTTGGTGCTACTGCAATTTCTTTGGTTTCTTCAGGAATTCTAAAAGTAGAGATGGCCATTGTTTTTAGATGTGGGAAATTTTTGAGTAATTGTTTAGACTGACAAGGTGAAGACTTTGAGGATACAGCATGCATCATTTTGAGTATAAAATTCTTGTCGTTGTTGTTGTTTTGTTTTGTTTTTTAACTATTTAAGGTCACACATGTGGATAATCTACCCCAAGGCCATTGGAACTAAGATAACCATTTGAACTGCTGCTTCAAAATGGTGCTCTACGATCTTTTTATACATTACTGATGTTGGTATTTTCTTAGACCAAATGTGACTGATGACATTTTCTGCGTTTTTGCCTTAGCTAAGAGCTGTGATGCAAAGTAACCTTGCCTTTGTAGGGTGTTCATGCTTTGAACATCCAGTGATGTCCTATGGGACATCAATGTCAAAATCAAACTGAGCTCTCTGGCTCTGAGCGCAGGTCTCATTAATGGACACAGTCTCCATGGCCCAGTGTTTCCAGAAGTCAGGATCGATACATCTCACAACTCATCAGTCTTTCATGACAATTCAGCCTTGTTTTCCGCAGAGTTGAAGTGTCAAACCTTAGGCACACAGTGAACAGGTAAGAGTACCTGTGTCCTTTGCATAAGGACCACCTAAATATTTGCAAATGAAACCCCTCTCCTGCATTGTGCAGACATCTTTCTCCCATCAGTCCTTTGTGTATCCATTTGAAAGAAATCAGTAAAAGGTTCCGAATCTATCGATAAGGGAGAACTGGGTAGCAGACAGATGTAGTTGACCAACAGCCAGAATCATACTTAAAAACCAAGTTCATTATTATATCATGTGTCTTCACCTGATATTTCGAAATGCATATTTTTAACCTGTTTGCCTTTTGAAGAATAAATACTCATAAACAAAATGAACGCAATTTCTGTTTTCCTCTCTACATGTTAAGCCTTCTTACAGTGGGAATGGGCCACTCTCCCACTGGATACTGTGATGTGTGTCCTGTCGGATTTGTCATCATCTCTGGACGTCTTGTCTTCTGTAACAATGGAAACTGTATTGAAGAACAAGACATTTTTTCCTCAGGCTTCTTACATTCTACATCCCAGATGATAAAACTAATCTTTCTGTTGATCATTGTTAAATAACAGACTTACACATTTCTCCAAGTTTTTTCCTTGTAGAGTTCGGGCTTGCTATTGAATAGCTCAGCAAGAACCTTAGGAACCTGAGCTTTTGGGGCCTCTTGGCCTGGTCTTTGTCAGATATGTTCTAATGGGAATAAAGGTACTGGGCCAGTTCTCTGTGTCTTGAGTTAGGTATATGAACACACAGACCCTGTTGGGGGAAGTGATGTCCTCTGTTAACCTGATAGCTTTCTGAGTCTTGCAAGTCTTGCTGTCATTGCAATAAGAATTTAGAAAATCCCAGAGCCTGGATACAGAACCAGAAGCAGGAATGTCAACACTTTTTTCCTAGCATTAAAGATTTCCAAAGGTTTTGCAGGTTCTTGTTTGGTTTGGCTTGGGGTTTCGTGATAGATGCTCACCAGATCGCTTCTTTAGCAATGTGAACTTTCTGATTTAACTGTGAAGCAGGGTTCTTTAACCTTTAGGAGGTTGAAGTTCAATCACTTAAAACTTTTTGGAGATGTTATTCACTTAAAAGCACTTTACTTTAACTAGAAAGAACCTTACTGTAGACTTGACTCAGGACAGTTGAGATTTTCAAACATAAACTGGAAGATGAATTGTGTGAGGCAGTGCAATAGGGGACAGGTTGGTTCTTGGTGTACAAGGGGGCTTGGTTTAATTGCATTCCAGAGAGTGACAATTTTGAGCTGTCTGTGAGATTGCTAGTTCCTGATCCTGCTTGGGACCAAGCAAGGAATTTGGAGCTCAGCTTTCAGGGCCTGCCTAGGTTCCCTTCCTCAGCAAGAGCAGTCATTCCACAGCCCTCCAGCTTCACATCAAATCATTTGTACCGTAGCATCTTCAGTCTTGACACCTGAACTTTCTTACAGTCTTTGAGATGTGTGTTTGGTACCTCAGCAATTCACAAATCCTGCTCTGGTCTCTCTATGGCACCTCTCCCATACAGTACTTTCTTCATGCTGCAGCTGGAGCCTCTTCCTGCAGCCACGCTGATGTATCCTGTGTCTCCTTTAGGACTACTGCAGCTTCCAGCAGTCAGAGGTCCAGATCTTCCTAAGCTGGCAATGGCCTCCCTGCCTTTCTAGTTTCTTTTCCTAGTCCTGTGCTCACCACTACAGCCTAGGCATCTCTTCTCTTTGCTCTTCCTGAAAGTTATCCCCTCGCCAGTTCTTTACCTGGCCATCTCTCACTCACTTTCAGGTCTCAGAATTGATGTGACTTACCAGGTGCCATGGTGCACACCGGTAATCCCCATGGCTTGGGAGGCTAAGGCAAGAGGATCACAAGTCCAAAGCCAGCCACAGCAACTGGATGCCCTAAGCAACTCAATGAGACCTTGTCTCTAAGTATAATACAGAACAAGGCTGGGGGTGTGGTTCAGTGGTTAGGTACCTCTGGGTTCCATTCCCAGTAGCAAAAAAAAAAAAAAAGAGTTGATGTGACTTCCTTCTAGAAACTTCTTTCGACATTTTTGGTGCCTGGCTTCCAAGCTCCCTAGCTGCTTCATCTTCTCTCCTTCTTTTTCATTCTTCCCTCCTTTCCCTTTGCTGTTTTTTCCTTTTCTCACACACCCACTTCACCAGTGTATAGTAAAACACATTCGGGGCTGGTCCTCCAAACTAGTTTTTGTCCCCTTTTGGTGGCACACAGCATCCCCTCTTTTGTTATGCAGGCACCAGGGCCCATGATGCTCCTCTCCTACCACATTCAACATGATCAGAGACTCTTCATTTCCCTTGTGCCTTGGAGAGTGAAACAAGTAACTCTCCTGCTTTACTTTACCCTGTCATATGCTGTGTTTAGCATCTTTAATGTTTTGTAAAAAGTAAGCTTCAAGTTTAAGAGGACAGTATGAGCTGAGCGTTTTAGAAATATAGATTTGGACTTAATTGCACATTGACAAGTTTTTGTTGCAGCAGTAGGGATGGAACCCAGGGTTTTGTCCATGGGCAAGTACCCTTTTTTCTTTTATTTTGAGGCCGGGTCTGGGTGCTTTCCCCAACTTGACCTTGAACTTGCAATCCTCCTGCCCCTGCCTCAAGTCACTGGGATTATGGGCGTGCCCTGCTGTGCCTGTCCGGAAAGCTTTTTCTTAAAAGAGACCAGGTTGTAAATATTTTTGGCTTGCACCTCCTGAGCTGTGCCATTGGAACTCAGAAGCAGCCACGGATGATAGGTAAACACGTGGCAGATGAACATGGCTGTATTTCAGTAGTATGTTATTTACAAAAGCAGGCAGCTGCCCTCAGGCAGTCTGCCAGCCCTGGTCTAGCATCAGCTCATGAATGAGCTCAAGCCTTTCTTTTTCTTCCTTTAGGAAAGCATACAGAGGCTGCCCTCCCTCCACTCTTCTCAGCCTCTCAGGGTCCACTGTGTACCTGCCTGGCTGCTTGAGAAACCAGGTGTTGCTTCTGTTTAACCCAGAGTTTTGATAGAGGGAGAAGTCGCTTGACCCTCCCCATAGTCAAGGAGTGCAGCGCCCCCCCAATGTCCTTCCCAGAGGGCTTCAGAAGCCCTGGGGCTTCTTGGGTTGAATTAAACAAC